GGAATAATTTCTGAGAAAACCGAAAAATTGAACAGAACAGGAAAGGAAAACTAGGAAACGGCCCACGAACCTTTGAAGCCGAATCGACAACGTTTTGAAAGTAACTCCAATAGAACCCGTTCAATTTTGAATCAACAACGATGACATACTGATCTGAAAGTAGGGAAATATAAGCGGGGAGAAAACAAATTTGCTCATTTAGGCTTAAAAACTCGGGCTCAAAGCCACATTACGCGGTACTTGTATATGCCAAAACTCATGACCATTCCTCATGAGAAAGCCCTTCCCCTGACACGAAAAGGAGAATGAGGGACCCAGGAAGGTACGTGATCTAGGGACTCCGCCCCATGAAAATTGTGCAATGTGTTTTTAAGTTTATAGAGTGATGAAAGAATATTGTTACCTGCTGCTTTTTTCTGAATGTCTTCAGAATTAGTATAGAAGATGGTCTGATTACATACACTTCCATAAGTATCTCTTATTGCAGTAACGAAGTTTAATGGTTTCTGAAATAACTCCTACCTTTTTCACTGTTCTCTAGCTTATCGGTTTTTCAATATTTAAGCTAATTTAGCAAAAAAAAGTTCAGGAGAATTGAAGGTGAGTGGAAGATCGGAATTTCCGTTTTCATTACCGCACAAGCCCTACAAACATGCCCTAATCGAATGAGAAACATGCGGCGTAATGCGATATAGTCCTTTCGGTGTACGAATTGTACACCACAGACGGGTGCGGTTGCGTAGCGGCTATTTAGTTCTAAATGCGACTAGGATGCAACTCGCGATTCTTCCTACATCACTACTTGTTTGTCTTCTTACCTCTCCTATGGTTCTTGAGTAGCATGTCAGAATAAAAGCCGAAGAGAGCTGAAAAAACTAACCTTAGCATCTGGGTTAATTAAAATGAGGCATCGCAGAAAGAATAACGTCGATTCTGGAGCATCTGAAACACTGAGGGTTGCTTTAACGAAAAAATGACTAACTTGATCAGGTTATCAGTTAGTAGTAATTTAATCAGGTCGAAACCTTCGTTCGATAACCGTTAAATGCCCTTTACGTCGCCACTTCTCACTACCCTAGTGTTCCACTGTCAAACCAAGCTGAAAGGTGGTGGGGAGGGGTAAAAGGGAACGGGGCGAGAAGGGTGAGCACTTCGCTGGGACTGTCGCGATAGGAAAGCCCTTGATGCAGTAGGTGCAGGATACCAAAAAGTACTGGGAACGGCAAATACAGAACGATCCGCTTCTTAGGTTCACAGGCGTTTCGCATAAAGGTGTACGGTATGCGATTTATTACAAAATGCTGGGATATGGGCAAAGGTCTTGACCCCAGGAGGGACATGGACCCTCATCTCACGCTTTCCGAGGGGTACGCTATCCGTTAGGCCACCAGGGCAGCTCTGATCCGGTGCAGTTTGTTGACGGGGGGGGGGGCATTTTGCTTTCCATAGATGTGTCGACCCATCTAGGCAGCCGTTTCTCGAGTTGACACGTTTTAGGATAGTGGCTAGACGATCTTACTTCAGCTTCACAAGAGTTCACAAGTTTTACCAGAGTGAGATTTGTAAACCGGAACTAGGGAAGCAATGATAATACAAAATGCCCCCCCCCCCGTCGACAAACAGCGCCCTCTGATCCTCTCAGCTTGACGACTTTTATGCCGTAGTCTTTACAGCAATTGGGTATACATGGCGATTAATTTTTTCATAAAGAATTCTTGAGAGCCCATTCCATGCTGATCGTATGGGCGGAGCCACTCGGACTATAAATCTCGTCCAAAAACCAGAGTAGACCAAAGTATGCGTCTCCGTTTGTTACATGAGTAATGGCCCACTAATGGCTAAGGTGAGACGGTTTAAGAGACTCAACATGTACTGTCAGAGTAGAATGTGCCCTCAATCTCATTTAATCCTGGTGATAGGAACTACTCTACTCATTTCCGATGTGGATTTCAAAAGCTCACCTTCGTCGATTTGGGCGATGTGATCAATAGAATCGACTTCTTCAAAACTCAGTGTTAGACCCAAGACATAACCAATAGAAATCCCTATCAGCACCGGTAATAATACTTCTCTGAAAGAAAAGTAAATATATTTCCCTCATGATAAAGGGAATCACAGCAGGGGACAATTGAATATTCTTCGTTATGTAGTCAAGGCACTAGAGGTGGTGCTCGCTTGAAATCACCAACTATTGAAGGGTCAGTCCACGCTGACTCTATGGGCGGAGACAGCCAACCACCTGTGTCGTTCTCATTGGCGTGCCTATTATCCTGTACAGCAGACTGCCGTAAAAATGAGGAAGGCAAAATGGTAGAGTGTTTCCAGAGATACAATTAGTGCAGACTACGCTCAAGCTGAAGGAAGTTTTTTCTAAAAGACACTGTGTGCGACTACAATTCGTGGGCGGTGATGTCTAAATATGGACATATAGCTGCCGATCAACTCATTTGTAAGAGAAAGACGGGCAGTACCACCGAAGACGCCCTAAATAAGGTCCACGATTGGACGAGCATTCCAAGGAGCATGGGACCAGAGGCAAAGGATGATACAGCAAGAAGGCGAGCGAAGACAAAGGTCGATCCTACACAGAAGCAACGCACTACGCTCAGTGATGTAGGGCCGTTTGTATATTCTATGTCTCCAGGGGGCAAAACAACTTCTGGGGTGGCGCTCCCTCGGCTCATGACAGCCACAGCGCCCTTTTCACCCAACTGAAAGGGACAACTTTGAGATTGCGGAACATACTACTTGTACCAAGGTGGAATTCCACTCAGCGGGTAATAGCGGAGTTCGTCTTGGAGGCCATGCAAATGTTAATACTACGAAAATCAAAGCTCACCGCAAAAGCCCTCGTCGTCCTGTAGTTAGCGCACGTTTCCCCAATAGCTGGTACTGTTGCCTTGTCATAACATCTACAAAAATTGCAATATATGAAAGACGAAACAGGGGAGAATTTCAGGAATCACAAAAATAGATAAGAAATTTACAAGAGTAGAAGCGATACCTAGTTGAAATTTTGAGAAATGCACATCTTACGTCTAGATCATAAGGGGTTATAGCTGGCCGCCCCCCTCTTGAGCCAACGTACCCACTGCATGTGAGAATCGAGCATTTCAAACATACTATTCAGCGTAATCTTGAAAGATTATCCCACGGCTGAAAACGATCTCGCTCTCGTCGGACTTACAAACATGTATAAAGAAGAGTTAATTAATGGACCGACAAAAACAAGGTGCAAGCACCACAACAAGTGAAAATAATTTCTTTTTTTTGAAGAGGCTCTTATTCGCCAAAACGTTGCCACATTCGTAGGCACGAATCAGTTGCATTCCGATTTTGTTATCGTTTACCCATAGATGGATTGTTTATTGTCTTTCCCGCAGCGAAAGTTACCCTGTAGTTGTCACTATTAGGTGTG